ATTTTTCATAATATTGCGAATAATATATCTTCTACTGGAATGATATATTCAACTAACTGAAATTAAAATTCATACCGTTTTTTTGTGAGAACAACAATATATTTGCTGACGAAGGAATCTATTCACTTTGTGATGTATCATGTAAATTATCGATAGATAACAAAAACCATACCACTATTATCATTAGTACACTAATGAAAAACATAAATATTTTCTGTAAGTTTTTACAAAATACTATGTCTGTCAGCAAAAGAAATACATAAACAAACAAATTCTCACACATTTTGTCTAACAATTGTCAATATTAACGAAGATAAAAAAAACTGACATTACTGGTACAAATGGAACCAATCGTGTATATACTTTCGCAAACAATAAAAATCCAACTTTTTATTATACTAGAATAGATTATTTAACTTCAAAGAATTTATCTACCACTGATTTTTATAAACAATTATATTAGTAATACTGAATCTCTCAAGATAAGTAAATAAAAATATATGTATGTTTACGCGTTAACTGCTTGATCAGAACATATTGAATTGTAATTATGTACAATATGTAAACGAAAATAGAATATTATTCTTGGAAATTAATCTGTAATCAACCTTACACAGATAATTGAAAACAATGAATTCATGAAAAAAAACATTTGACTGATAGTAGAATATTTCAGAAAACAAATAAACGTAATGCGGAAACAGAAAATAACAAATTTAAATAGAAAGTATTTATGGAAGATAGAAGGGTAATCAATCAGAGCATGGAGATCTTTACAAATACTGTAAAATAAATCCATTCTTGTATTTTTAAACTTTCCTACGTTCACAATATCACCAACATGAACAAAATTAAATAATCTGTACTATAAATTTTCTTACCAATGCTATATTAATTGATCTATATCAAACAACAGCAAAACTATGATCAGCCTTCTTAATGATATATATATCTCGCCACATCTAACACCTTCAACACCCACTATCCCCCCATCAATAATATCAACATAAGATACTTGTCATGCGTCTATGCATTCTTTTCCTGTCTTTAGTTGTTTTCCGATTTACTGTAAAATATAATGTCATATGATTAATAAGAGGTACTACCGACAAAAATAAAATCCAAAAATCTATTTTTATCTGTACCTAGTCTATTTTAAAAACATTTCCTTTGCAAAAAAATCGAAAATATATTAGTCAGACATATGTTCTCACTAATAGACTATGTATCATCATCTTAAATACGAATGAAAACGACATTAGTTTTCATAGACAAATGGAGTTTGAATAGACAAATTTCTAGTTTGCTGCCGGATCAAAACATTGTTAATATTCTATGATTATAATAGCTAAACAATAATTGTTACAACCGGATGTTTCAATCTGATATTATTTTAACAAATTACTACGGTAGATAACTTACCCATCAAAATATTTCTATTTTATTTCATTTGAAGTCATATCTTTAATTATTTTCTGTACATTGTTATTCGCAACTGATATATGACATTCAAATCTCTAGATTAAATAAACAATTTCGATGTAATGGTACACACGATAATTACAATAAATGATCTCAATTATAATCATTTTTTCATAAATTTTATATTGATAAAAAGTAAAACATAATTCACTGTTTGCTCAATATGTATATGTATATATATATTCTAGAGGCAAATAAAATTCTCATTATTTTAAACAAATATGTTTGTTATTTAAAATCTTTTCGATTTGAAAAAAAAATATATATAAATAATTATATATTTTTTTGTAAAATTTTAGTTAATATATTTCTCTACTAAAAATGTGTGTAAGTTAAATAATGTGTCACATTGTTCTAATATTGATGTTATGAAGTATTTTAATGAAGTTTGGTATTGCTAGTATGTTTATTGCTTGAATATTTTCCTGTAGCTTCACTGTCACGAGTTGTTCGATCCGGTGTCGATGATGATTGAAAATGATTTCCAGCTAGAAGAAAATATTTCGATAATTTTATTTGTGAAATTAATAAAAAATAAAAAAAAACTAACTTGCTGGTACTGACATATGTCTTCTTTTGATTTCTTGTTGAATTCGTTCAGTTATTTTCTCTAATGATTCAACAGGATAATCAGCTTCTCGTTGAATTTGACGTATGGGTCGTGTTGATACATGTCGTCGATGACGTTCAGTTTCATCATCATCATAATTTAATTGTAAACTTGATATATAATTATCAGATTGTTCACGTGTATATTCAGTATTCTATAATAGAAAAACAAAATAAATAAAATCAAATATAATCAAATTAAATATCTACTTTAGAACGTAAAAGTGCGTCCTTTTCTAATCGTCGAACTCGTCTCGAAGCTCCTGGCATGATTGGGATAGTTGCGCGTGATGTAAAATATTTTTTCCTCGACTGCTTTTATTGCGTCTAAGGAATATACGACGAAGAAAAACGATAGATTTCCTTTTTCTGCTTTGGACAAGGATACAATTATCGTCTCCATATAACTCTCAGTACATCAGAAGAAAATATCCGGCAAAAAAAAGAAAAAAAAAAGAAAAAGGAAAAAGAACATATGTATGATATTCCTCTGTTCTACGTATTCTATATATCGAAACATAGATATAATGGGAATAACAAAACATAAATATGAGATACCATATATGCAGAACGACAATATGCTACCAATAGGTCATTACATACCCAACTAAATAGGCAAAATATTATGGATTAGAAAACTTCTAAAGTATTCTACAATATTTTTTGTTTTTTCTATACTAATAAACGGAAGAAAAAAAATAAGATATACATTTGTAGATATTATCGTATGCATAAGATAATAAAAAAAAAAACGACGACATAATATACATTAAAAGCCACATTTTCAAATGTAAGCAATTTGGACGATGTCTTTAGGAGAATTTTTATATAATAATGTATTCTTTTATCAGTCACAACTTACGAATATATCAAAAAAAAATTTTATCAATAAGTTTTACATGATTTTCTACTATAAATGTATTTTTATAGTTAAAATCATCCGTCAACTTTTGTTAACAATTAATATGTCAAAAGAAGAAATTTATATAAAAAACAATATCAGAAATTACAGTAAATTGCAATATATCAATAAGAAGAAAAAATAATGTTTTTTTTTGTGTTGAATTTAAGAACTAGTAGAAGTATTGAATAGTAATGTATCATTAAGAACTGATATTAATGGTTGAATACGAAAGATAGGTGGTAATAAAACCAATGATGCGAAAAATATAACAACAATACCAATTATTTTCATACCAAGTCCAGCTTTAATTAATTGAATAATTCTTACATTACCACTCGAAAATATCATTGCATTAGGAGGAGTAGCTGAAAACAAAAATTACAGATAAGTTTAGAATTACTGTATAAAATAAAACTTACCAATGGGTAACATAAATGAAAGAGAAACTGCCATACATGATGGTAAAATCAAACGTGCTGCATGAATTCCTGCAGTCTGAGCCTATAAAATATAATCAGTATGAAAATTAAAGTACTAAGTCATATCAAATTTATCTATTGATGAATGAAATTAGACCCTTTGTCATATTTAATATTTATGAATCTGTGACACAACTGAAAAAATACGAATTGATAATTGATATGAATATGTCTTACAATGCTGTCAAGTACGGGAAATAGAATACTGGCACATGCAAGATTGCTTGTAAACTCGGTAAATATTGCACTTAATACAATAACAATAAAAATAATCGTTTTATGAGAAGCACCAACAACGAATTGAAGAAAATTGGCTACTGTAAGAGATAAATTTGATTCCTAAATTTAAAATAATATATATATATTTTATGAAAATTTTTATAGGTTTTCCTCATACTTTAAATCCATCAGCAATTGCTAAACCAGCACCTTGTAACATGAATACACCCCATGGAAATTTTTTAGATAATTGATCCCATTGAAGTATAGGATGATATTCCCAATTTTCTAGAATAATTTATAAATAATAATAATAATTGCTCTAGTTTTAAATCAGTATCTTACTATCAAATGGATTTTTATTCGGTAAAATAAGTGGTAATACACCAATTAGTAACGCAACTGTTCCATCGGTAACATAACTAAATAATAATTGAAAATTATCAATAAAATTTATATGGAAACTTTTTTTAATTACCCTTCTACAAAAATAATTTCCCATCCAGGATAAGTTGAGAAATCACGTGTTATCCAAAGTGTAACCATTATAACAAATAGAATAGCAACTATACGTTCTTGCCAACTAGGACTACCTAATTCTTTGTATTGTTCTTTGAGAACAGATTGTAAATGTTTTTGAGATGCTATTTCATCTTTACTCTTTTTTAACCATGGTAATAATCTAAAATATATATTTATATTATTATTATAAATATAAATATTCTAATTGTAAAGAATATTACTCTCGATGATTGTATAATAATTGTAACCATAACCAACAAAGTATAAGCATAACAAAACCGATTGGAAAAGCGAATAAGAGAAAATTTGTAAATGAAATTTCAAATGCATGAGCTCCTGAAGCATAAAAACTTGAAAATAAAATTAGTTTTAGTTTTGTATAGAGATAAAAAAAAGTACTTACTCATGAGTAAAACCTTTGACAAAAATATTTGGACCAGTTCCAACTAATGTTGCTAAACCGCCAATAGCTGCAGCATAAGCGACAGCAATGAGAAAAGCTAGAAGAAAATAATAATTATTTTATTTATTTCGAATTATTCATACCAGTTTTAAGTTGTTGATAGTCTACACGACGTGTCAATGTAGATTTCTGTTCATTACTTTAAAAATTAAAATTTAAAAATTAGAATCAATTAAATAATGATAACTTACTCAATTGTTTGATTGTTTGATTCAATAGGAAGACTTTCATAAGCTGTTCCTAATTCTATTTTCTGATCATCAGGAACTACTTCTAATGATTTTCGATGAATTCCATTATTATGAATAGCAGATCGTTTTTGCATTTCTTGTTCATGATTTTGAAGTTCATCAATGATAGCAACTGCTGCTGGTATCATAATACTTGTTGCAGCTGAATTATTAATCCACATACTTAAAAAAGCAGTGACTACCATCACACCACCCATACTCCTATTAGATATATAACAAATAACTATTTTATATCGATAGATAATATATATATATACCATTTAACTGATGAACCAACAATACTAAGAACAAATAATGCTAATCGACGATGTAAATGAACATGTTCCATTGCTTGAGCTAATGTCATACTTCCAACAAATAATGTACTTATATCCTATTGAATGATCAATATAATAAAATAATAGAATGAATAAATAAGAATGATTTACTTTAAAATAACTAATACCGACGCGATCACTAGATAGAATACCGGCCATTGGAAAGAAAGCAAGTGGCAGTAAGGAAGTTACTGCATATGACATTACTTCAAATACCCAATAAATTGTAAGAATTAATACAATATAAGCACATCGTGCTTGCTAAAAAGAATTATTCTTCTATATCATATGGTGAAAAATTGATTTTATACGTACAATTGTTTTTATTATAAGTGGAAGTGGTAATAAGATAAGTGGTGTAAGTATAATAATTAATAAACGCCACCAGCGTTTGAGTAATCCTAGTTGACGAGATATCACAGCCATTATTTTATATTTACTACTATCTATTCTTTAAAAGTTGTCTGCACAAGTATTTCTTAGCAATACTTATTTATCTCTATCTCTTTTATATACTGAAAACGTGTTAAAGTATCGAATTTCATTTACCATTTTATTCAATAATTTTATCAAGAATAAATTATGTTGATCTAATAGATAAATAATAGTAACGCCCCATTTGGGTGTACAGTACTGTTTTTTAGATATTAATTATGCTAATCTTTAACATTGGCAATCATAAAAGAAAAAATAAATAGTACATCGAACCGTTGTTTGACATAATCCATAAGGATTATGTGCATGTAAGTGTATATGACTCAAGGAAGGTTTTGAAATACGGAGAAAGTACAAGAAATTGTTATTTCATCACAAGTGATCAACGGTATCAAATAAAATCAATGGCTGTCAATATATTGTATCAGGTATTGTTCTTTGATTTATTTTTCACTTATTTTTCTGTATCGAAGTGACTTTAATGATAGCTAAGAATATTCTATCTGGGCGTTGTTTTTGAAAAAAAATGATTAAGTTTTATTTTATAAATGTAAAGGTTATATTTACATTTATTCAATCCTCATATTTTGTGATCAAGTCTGATGTGTGGTTACAAGCATTAGTTAGACAAAAAATATCAAGAAACTAAAATTTAATCAGATGAAAATAAGAATATATGTGCTTTTGTTACATTCAAATAGTCTTTAACGAGCATAATAATTGATTGAGTCAAATCACCAGCATTAAATGCAATTTTTTCATTTTGCACTATTGATTCATCAACATGTAATTCAAATGGTAGAATAGGTTGTCCGAATGGAGGAACACTACCAGGTACAAGTCCAGTAAGATTCATAAGTTCTTCATTAGTAGCAAATCGAATTTTTTTTGTTTTCAAATATTCTTTTATTTTTTTCGAATCACATTTTTTTGAAGCACTAAGAACAAATAAATGAAATTTATCATCGATTTTCATAACTAATGCTTTGCCACCAATGGACAGATCCTCACCACGAATTTGTGCTGATTGTTCCGATGTATATGTTGGTTCATGTTGAATAGATCGAAAAGAAATATCATTCTCTTTAAGATATGTTGTAATAGAATTAAAGACATTAGATGAAACAGGTCCAGTAGCCATTTAAGACAAATTATCTGTTAATAAGCGATTGATTAATCGTCTGATATAAACTACCAAACTTTAAATTCAGAGTCCATGATTCATCTACATTAACTTCAATATAGAAGCATCTTCAATAGATGTCCTTTGTAATCGAACAACGTTTTTAATCATTATGTATCTTTAATTAAATTCAATTTAATATCATGTTTTTATTATCTGCATATAAAAGTTTATATTTCTATTAATTATTCTTAATATATGATCTGAATTATTTATCATTCATAAAGATTTAGAATACATATTAAATATATAACAAATATTTTTTTTGATATAGGCGTTCTCATTTTTCTTAACTTGATTCATACGCACAGAAATAAACATGAGAATAGAACAAAAAATCTCTCATCATCTATGGACTAACATTTTACAAAGTCAACAATATGATGAGAAAGAGAAACAAAGACAAAGAGACAAAAAAAAACAAAAAAAAATCCTGAAAAACACAATTAAAATGAAAAGACAAAAAAAAGACAAAAACTACATGACAACAATAAATAAATAGTGTAAACATACGACTGTTGTGAAGCTGATAGCACTGACACACGAAGATATATATATATATAAAGAAGAAGAAGAAGAAAAAACTAAAAGAATAAGTATCATCGAATTTTATTAAATAAATTAAGTACACTGTCGGATTCTTTATTAGCACGACATTTTGTAAATACATTCCAAAATCGAAGTGTTTCATCTCCAGCTCCTGTTACAATTGATTCACCATCAGGTGATACAGCTAAATATAATACACGAAATGTATGTCCTGTTAAACGAGCTAATTGTAACATTGATGGATATTTCCAAACAACAATTTGATTTTGTGAATAACCATGCTGGAAAAAAAAGAGAAATACAATCATATGAAATTAAATTAAATCTAGATTTATATACCGTTGATACAAGTTCATTTGAATGTTTTGACCATGCTAAATTACATACCTAGATAAAAATGAAAAGAAAAAAATAACTTTAAATAATTATAATCATATTTATTTACTTGAGATCCAGTATCAATACATTGTAAACTTTGTGCTGTTAATGTATTCCAAAATCGAATATATCGATCGGCTGTTCCTCCGCCACTTGCTAATAAACCTTGTTGATGTGGACTCCATGCAATAGCTTTAACAGCTGCTGTATGATCCGTATAAATTTGTATTGGATTTATACATGATTGATTCCATACTAATAAACGATTATCATTTCCACCGCTTGCCAGTAATTGTCTATCAGGTGACCATTTTAATCCACATACTTCTTGTCTATGTCCAGCTAATTTACGTTCTTGTTTACTTGAACGTGTATCATTTTGTAATATAAATCGATCACGTGAACCAGAATATATACAATGATCATTCCATGCTAATGCACCAACACGTGCTGTATGACGTGGAAATGAAACTGTTTTGCGATTTGTTGTTGCATCCCATATCTGAACAATACCTTTATGAGTTCCAACAGCAACATATTGCCCTCGATCACTCCATGCTACACTTGTTACTGTATCTGATTCAGTTTGTAAATCACATAAACGTGTGACATTACTTGTATTTGCATTCCATAAATAAACCGATGCATTAAGACCAACAGCTAAAATATTTGTTGATGACCAATCAACTAAATTTAAATAAAAATCATCTTGAAGTTCAGGTGCATCAAGAACTTTAAATGGAGTTTTAGGAATTTTTCGTAATTGTTTACGTGGTGAACGTAAAAGACGAATTGATGCAGGTGATAATGGAGATAAAGAATATGGTGAATAATGTAAATCATCTGTATTACGTCGGGCAGAATAACGAAAGATAGTATTCGGATCCCGTGTACGTAATAGATTCGAATTTGTATTTGTATATGGTAAACGTTGCTGAGATGATTGAGAAAGAATACCCTAAATTATATATAAATATAAAATTTATTTATTCTAAATAAATTTATTTACATTGATTCCTGATATTGATGTTGTATGAATTTGTCCACCAATAGTTTGTCCATTTAATGTTGTTGTTACAGGTTGAGAATTAATTCCTCCATTAATTGTTGTATCATTATTTCCACCTTGATTTGTAGTTCCTGTTGTATGATGTTGATTACTGTTAATATTTGAATAAGAACTATTCATATGATATTCATCATATAAAGTATCGATTTGTGTTCCAAACATTTCATTTTGTAGTAAAGCTTGATAAGTTAATACATCTTTTGTTCGATCAGCTGCAATTGTTGTACCATTGGTTGATGAATTTCCATTTGTATTTGTTGCTGATGTGGTTGGATCACGAGATGATTTTTTATCAATCATTGGCCCTTTATGTGTTTGTTCTTGATCGATAAAAAATGCAGATGGTTGTGATAAACTTCTAAGTGGAATAAAACGATCACTACATTTAATAGGTGATGGAGATGAGATTGGAGATGAAAATGGAGATGAATTAAGAGATGAACCACCCGACATAGATTGTATAAGACGACGTTCAAAATCAGGCTCCATATTTATCTATTTAATAAAAACAAAATAATAGTAATTTAGTTTCATTATAAATTTTAACGGTCACATGAACTAACGATAGGACAATGACTGCTACGATTATTTGTCACCTTTTGAAATCCAATAGAAAATCAGTTAGGAATTCTTCATCAATGTTAATTAATTATTTTTATGTTATGTAGTTATATTTTTAGATTTTCCTAATCTATTTCTTTCACATGAAATATTCTAAACTGTTTTACTTATTAACATAAGTTTTTCAACAGATGGCGCCAAGATGCTATACTGAGAGTGAGGGTGTGGGTGGGTGTGTTAATAAATTAATGCTTTTGATATGACGTTTTCGCTGACCGGAATTTAACTTTAGCAAGTTTAGCTGGAATTTTGAATGATGATAGCGAGATTACAGTCACGTTCTTTTACATCTTGTGCAAACAACGATCTGTTGAGAGTACTGAGTTCTCATTATATGTCTAAAAATGTATATTCTAATAATATTACAAACTATAGGTAGAATTTAACGCATCTGTCCGAACATTATAGATGAAAAATAAACCTTTAAGCTTAAGAATACAAAAAAAGATTTTTTCTCTCCATTGTGGTCATTAGATTTATCTAACTTAATCATATAATTTACTCTAAGAAAAAAAGGAAAAACTTACAATCATAATTACAAAAAAAAAGAAAATTCTATTTGCAAACAATTATTTACAACGGGAGTAAAGTACGCGACAGTAAATCCTGTAATTCGCATAGGGATACGGTATTGGTGTGTGATATTTGTATCCCCATGCACTCACATCTATACTCTCAGTCAGTTTTTAAGCGCCGCAGATTGTCAACAGCAATGTGCATCTCGAAATTGCACATTACTTGTAGCAATTGGCGTTGTAGCAACTCTTAACGATATACTTGAGCTTCAGAATTATTTTATTTTCTAAAGTTTGCAAGCATTCTTGACAATATAGTATAACATAATTCATGTAGCTGATCATTTTTATGAAATAATAGCGAAGATCAACTGCTTTCTTAGATACATAACTGTCGATGATATGAAACAATTTCAAAAAACAATCTAACGTTAGCTAAAATTGAGGGAGTCATTTTTTTTAGAATTTTATATTGACTTCTAGATAAGATTTCACTTCTTTAACTGACATATATTAATTACGGAATAGAAAAAATTGTTTGAAATGCAAGTATCTTTTACTATATTGAATTATCACACTGTCGTTCGGAAACATATGATAAAGAAATTTGAATAACGTATACATGAAAACAAAGTAAATAAATGACTTGTTAAATACTGATATTTAGAAAATACGCCATAAGCATTGACGTCAGTATTTGATACTATATACTTTTTTCTCTGAAAACATATTCCATTACAGTTACTAAAAACAAGTGTGATTATTCTGATCAAGGTAATTAATTGATGCTCAAGAGTATTATTTTGTTGGAAAATTTTAAAGCATTATAAAAATAAAGAATTTAAATATCATTAAATAGAAGCGAATGAAAGAGAAAGAATGATATAAAAGCAGAAAGAGAAACGGCTTTTTCATGTCATTTTTTATCAACAGTTATTATTGTAAGACAATCTCCAACAGAGAAGTATTCATAGGATGTATAAAGTAACAATAAAGTTTAATCTTATGGCAATTCTAATACTCATGATATTAATCAACAATATATCAAGTAGGTATTCAAAGACTTTACATTGATAGATCATTATTTGCGACAGATCCAATTAGATAAAGTGATTAATTTTACGTACTTATAACGTGTTTGCAAATTGCTGTATAGATTATTTACAAATACCTTCTTGAGTCGTGGTTTTAATAAAAGAAAATAGGTATTTGTCTCGATATCGAGAGTAGGAAGAAAAATTTGTTATCGAAATCAGTAATCGAAAATGAATCAGTCGCCGAATAATAAACAGTGAGATCGATATCATACTTAAGACCCTCTCTATTAAAATTGGTGGACATCAGAAAATCTAAGAAAAAGCTCACTTTTTCTATCCACAATGAAATTTGATAGAAGTCACTGTCACAGAAAAATCTGTGTACTATAGTTTTGGTCAGATTTATAACTATTATATATATTTATTTTCAATTGACATATATTTTTTTACAGATAGTTGTTTATTAACAACAACTATTTGATTGACAATTGAGATAATCTATTACAGATTTTTGCTGGGTAGTTTGAAAAGTAGATTTATTCCTAATCTTGAATGTATCAGTTCTCAATGAGAGCTTCTCATTACTCAAGTAATAATAAAACCAAACATTGACTGTCTGAGATAATTTACAATGTTTAAAAAAAACAGTTTTACTTATGCGATCATGATTTACTGAGGATGATAATAATATGTTTTTGTGCTTACAGTGCAAAAGAGATTATCGCCTCAAGCTTCTTGGAATCAAAATAGTATCATCGTTGCAGGATGCTCTAATGGAAGCTGCGGATCCGCCCTCAATAAATTCAACCATCCTTTAGGAATATCAATCACCGATAACGACATTCTTTACATTGCTGATATATTGAATCATCGTGTTGTTGTCATTCATCTTGATTCAACTGTCGAAACTTTCTCTATCGGCTCTGGGAAAGGATCTAACCCGGGTGAATTCAATAGTCCACACGATGTTTTCATCTTCAATACATCACTTTACGTTCTTGAACAAGATAATAAACGGATGCAAAAAATGCCACTTAATGGTTCACATCCAATTATAGTGCTCAATGTAACTGGCTTAAGTTTGCCCATATACCTTTATATTGATAATAATGGTGACATATATGTGAGCGACAAAGGTAATCACAGTGTTTTTGTTTTTCGATCGCATTCAACTAATAGTTCAAGAGTAGCTGGTACTGGAGTCAAAGGATCTACCAATGAAACGCTTGATGGCCCATATGGAATATATGTCAACAACGTTGGAACTATTTACATTGCGGATCGTTATAACCATCGAATCATGAAGTGGTTAGCTGGTGAATCATCTGGAGTTCGTGTAGCTGGTAATGGAAAAGCTGGCGATAGCTTAATGCAACTTCATTCACCAACAGATATCATCGTTGATGAAAATGAATATATGTATATTAGTGAATCACTTAGCGCACGTGTAACACGATGGGCTCCTAATTCAAACTGTGGAACGTGTATCGCTGGTTGCTCGGGAAAATCTGGAAGTGCACCATCTCAGCTATGCGAACCACACTCTTTAGCGTTTGACAGCAAAGGCTCACTCTATGTCAGTGAATATGAAAATCACAGAGTGCAAAAATTTCAACTTCTTAACTCTCCTAGTAAGTATGTAATTCATGTACCATATTGGTGAGAAGTATTTCAGTCATTTATAAGTCTAATGAGAAAAGCTAATAAATAGAAGTCAAAAAGTTACAGTAAAATAGTGAAAAATTTTTTTTCTGCGTGCAATCGTGTATCATCGAGCCATATTTTGTTGATTACGTGTCATAAAAATCGATATTGTTTTTATGACACACACTCAAACAGTTTTCTGATAACTCTTTATCCACATGTCATCAGTATTCCTTGAAATAGAATACATTCATCTAAAAGAAAACTTTCTTGCGAAACTTTGCATAATACTTTGAGTAGCTTTTCCTGATCGATAACGAAGAAAACTGAAATATGAATGATTTCTTAAAGTAGAATTAACGACAATAATTATTTATTATTATTCACATAACATCTTCCTCACAAACAATATTAAAAGATTCTAAAATATTTTTGGTTTTGTATTCACCTTTTAGAATGATAACTTGTTGTCTGACTGATAAATCACATCATAAAAAGTTTGATGCATTCCACATATTTCGATGAATATTGTAAATCTAATCAGCAGATCTCGTAGTTTTATGCTTATTATTCATCGTAACATAATCTTTATAGACTTATGATTTATTGTAGAGTGTAGTTTCCAAAAAGCACATGAACGTTGTTGTTGATAATTCATAACATATGTTTCAAAGGATTCACTCTTTTGAGAATTTAGAATAAAGATAGATTTTTTCGAGAAAAAGATTAAATATCATTTAATTATGGATGATATTGAATTTTCGAGTTTGCCTCTCTTTTCTCTAGTTCCATACAATCAACCAAAGATTGTTTACAATATAACATGGGATCAATGTGGCATCACTTTTGCTAACAAATGTATTCTTCCTACGATGCCTCATGGTATTTTTATCGACTCGAATGATACCATATACATAGCTAATTATGAAAAGGATCGGATTCTAATTCTACCTAAAGAAGGTAATATTCTCGAAAGAAAATTAATTGTTAAGCTGTTCAGGTACACAAGTTTATTCGTCACATTGAATGGTGATATTTATTTTGAGAGTGGCAATGCACCTGGTCGAATCGAGAAGTTCAAATCGAATTCAACAAATAGTGAATTCGTGACAAAGTTCTCAGGAAACTGCTATGGTCTCTTTGTTGACATTCGAAATACTCTCTATTGTTCCATTCCATTGGAACATCGAGTAGTGAAGGTATTACTAGACCGCGATATTAATACAACGATCACAACAGCAGGAACAGAGTTCCAAGGGCCAGAACCATATCAGCTAGATGTTCCTTGGGGAATATTTGTTGACATTAATTTTAACTTGTATGTGGCTGATGCTTCAAATCACAGAATTCAACTTTTTCGACCAGGAGAATTAAATGGAACTACAGTGGCTGGAAATAATATTCCAAATAATTTGACATTACACAGGCCAACCGACGTGATACTGGATACCGATAGTTATTTATACATTGCAGATAATGACAATCATCGTATTATTCGAGTAGGAAACGATACATTCCAGTGTCTCGTTGGTTGTACTGGCAAATCCGGATCGGCATCCAATGAACTCAATAAAACATATGGTCTTCGCTTCGATAGGTCTGGTAATTTATATGTTGTTGATGAATATAACAGTCGCATTCAAAAATTTAGTGTTTCACATAATTCATGTGGTAAGTCTCCTTATAAAACTATAGTGAAAAGTATGAGCAGTCTAATTTTTGTTAATAAAATTAATTCTCTACATCGACTTCATAATTCTTTGTGTTAAACCTTTTCACTAACACGATCTTTCTCTTGTAGTAGAAACTCCAACAACTGCGATACCAACTGCTGAATGCACAACAACTATCTCGACTTCTGAATCCACAACAACTATCTCAACCCCTGAATCCTCAACCACCATCTCAACCTCTATATCCACAACAACTATTTCAACCGCTGAGTTCACAACAATCATATCAACCCTTGAATCCACAACAACGATCTCAACCGCTAAATTCACAAGCAGTATTTCAACCCCTGAATTTACAACAGCTCATTTATCTGAAACTTCAGAGTACAGTAAGTGTAATAAAACATCGTTAACAAACGTGTACTCATGATAATGATTTTAGATCAACTAACAACAACAAAAAAGACACTGGTGATTTCTACGGTACATCCACGTACGTATTTCATGCATGTAACTTCAAAAATATATGATTTATTATTTCATCTTGCTGGTTATCTAACGCACAAGTTCTGATAAATGTAAATCTTAGAAAGGAATGTTTCTCTTTCTGTTAGTGAGACAAACAGATGTTATTTAATTTGACTAAATTATAATACACTGAACTTTTATATTCACTAGATGTGAGAAAGATTATATACTCGTATTGTGAAATACAAGTATAACAAACTCTTTTGAAGAGAAAACTATTTGTTCCTTCTATTTGTAAAGCAAATTACAATGCACTAAACGATTATATTGAAACTACTCTTTTTTTCTATTCTGCAGATCATTCAACGTCATTATTTTTTGTTGCACCTTCATGTGGAAATTCAACAAACATTGGTATTAACTGCAATGTATCTGGCACTATTTGTGATATGGGAAATCAATGTCTAAACGATGGTAATTGTACCAATATTAAGAATAATCAAGATTATGATTGTTTGTGTCCACCTGATTTTAATGGTAAACAATGTCAATTCGATCAACGACTCTGTAAAGAAAATACTTGTTTCAACAATGGTAAATTCTATCACTCTCTTGTCTTTTCATTGCTAAAATATAAGAAAACTGTTATTCATAGGTATATGTGACACAATCTTGGACTCAACATTTAATTGTACATGTGCACTTGGTTATGAAAGTACAAGGTGTGAAAGAAAAATAAATTATTGTTTTAACATCACATGTTACAATAAAGGTGTTTGTCGTCCATTATTACTTGGTTATTCATGTGAATGTCTTAAAGGAAGTTATTATGGTGAACATTGTGAAATAACTACAAGACGAATAATTATTTATCAGATTGTATCAAAATCATTTGGTTATATTGCAATTTTGGCAATGATAAGTGTAGCAATGTTTATTATCGTCATGGATATTCTAAAATATGGTTTTGGCATTGATCTAGCACGTCGAGAAGTCGAACAAATACGACGAGAAAAACAAGCAAAAAAACGTAAACAAGTTACTCAGCGACTTATTTATGTTAATGCTATACCTTAATCTAAACAACCACTTTGAACAATAATTGAAGAAACGGCCATTTAGACATTATATAAACTCTATGACTTTCTTTTGATATTGTACTGCAATTACAAATAGGAGGAACAATAAGTTGTACATCAAATGAAAAGTTTTCAAAAATGAGATTGAAGACTGTGATATATCATTTAAAGGATGAGAATATCTTTTAGATTTAATATTATCGGATATTTTCATGTGCAATTAATTAAGAAAAGATAAAGTTCTGAAAGATCATTTTCTGTCTATTAGACTTTATAGAACTCTCTTTGCTGATCATTTTGGTAATAACTTTTTTGTAATTTATAAAATAAATAATGGAATTTTATAAGAGTTCTGGTTGATATACATAATATACTTTGACCTTAGCATTCACATTTCTTCATCATATTTTGAAACGTTCTTTTAGCAAAATAATCAGCAAGGGAAACTATGCAAAATCCAGTAGTCAAACACAAAGCTTTGAGAATTTTATACTTTGGCGATAAACTGCTCATCTCAGCACAGTGTCCAACCTGATAAAACTTCCTATAACTCAATAGAATATTTTCATCTTTGCAATGATCCATCATATAGTTTTACATCTCGTTTTCGACGACCTTTTATTCAATATAATGTACGGAATTGAAGATACTTTATGAAAGAATTACCTGTTTTTGATAGAATTATAGGATTCAGAAGTTACGTGCGCTTATAAAATCATTACCGATATAATGTTTTGTAAAATATTGTTACGCAAGCTTTTTTTAATGGGCGTAGGTGTCTTTCATCTCACAGCTCACCAACAACCATACTCCATCCACACTCACACCCTCAAGATGAAAAGTTGTCGAACTTTCATACTCGTGTTCACCATCATCAAGATTAAGATTTGATTAAGTAAAATCTTCATTTATTTGTTCTATGTCGCCAATTTCGATATCCGAATTAATTGAACCACTTTCGGAATCAAACTCTTGATCAATGTGATTATTCATATATTTAATATTTACTTAATAGTGATAAAATTTAATGATGCTTGATTTTATTTGGTTAAAAAAGTGTTTGAATGACAAATGACTGCACTTGATGACAATAATCGTTATTTTTTACATATAATATATATGAAATATTCTTGACATGTCTTCTATTAATTTCTAGTTTGTATGTAATATCAGAGAAATATCATACAACAGCAAGTAAAGATGAGGACAAACGAATCAGGTACTCGTGTATATTTAAAAACTTTGTTCTGCGTTATTTCAACACACATAGTTTAGAACAGCAGACATAAACGCTGAAAAGCGAAGACATTAATTATTATGAGACGTCTTTTATTGTATCACTGGCTTTATCACTAATCATGGTCAATTGACATTAGTCAGAATTAAAACACGCAACGAATTCTATTTTTATTGCGACAAAAATATTAAAACTGTCGTGTCATACAAACGCATATTGATGATCAAGCATATAGCGCATAATTTTTTCGTTTACACTTTTGACAGAACAGAACAAAAACAAGGTGACGATGCACATTTCACCATACACATTAAAGGATAAAATAGAAAAAACTACTCAATCAATATGACGAAGCAAAATTATACACACTAGTATAAATTAGATTGAAAGACGGTAGAGTCTATTCATTACACATAGTTTAAAGAAAAACCAAATACCAGTCATAAATAAATGGGGAAACTCGATGGAAAAATTGCTCTCATCACGGGTGGATCAGATGGAATTGGTTTAGCAACTGCTATACAATTTGTGATCGAAGGTGCATATGTCTTTATTACTGGACGTCGTCAAGAAGCACTTGATGCAGCAGTGGAAAAAATTGGTAGTAAAAATGTTACTGCAATACAAGCAGATTCATCAAAATTAGATCAAATCGATAATGTCATTAACATTATTGAGAAACAAAAAGGCAAACTCGATATTGTCTTTGCAAATGCAGGAGGCGGCACAGCTTCACCATTGGACGCAATTACAGAAGAACATTATAATCTTATATTTGATCTTAATGTGAAAGGAGTATTATTTACTGTGCAAAAAGCATTACGAATTCTTTCCAATGGCGGCTCAATTATAATAAATGGATCAGGTCATAGTATAAAAGGTTTTCCAGCTTTCAGTGTTTATGCAGCATCGAAAGCAGCTGTTCGTTCGTTTGCTCGTTGTTGGTCTGTGGATCTAAAGGATCGTAAAATTAGAGTAAACGTACTGAGTCCTGGTGTGACTGAAACACCATTAGCTAAAAAAGTTGCAGGTGATTCAGAAGAAGCTTGGCAAGCTACTGTAAAAATGTTTACGGATATTATCCCCATGGGTCGGATTGCTCAACCTGATGAAATAGCCAAACCTGCTGTGTTTCTTGCATCAGATGATAGCTCGTATATCACCGGTATTGAACTTTTTGTTGATGGAGGTGTTACACAAATCTAAAGTTGCTGTTTTTTTTTGAACATTATTATTTCAAAATTGTCAATAAAATATAAATGTGATTTTGTCCAGAACATTTTAATTGAATCTTATTAGAGTTTCTCTCTACAATCAGAAAAAGATCAATAGGTAGTTTTATGTTTATGCTGCTGTATTGTCACACTTGGAAATGCTTGCATAGGACATCAGGTTTCAAGAGTATACGGAAGAGAAATAGTAGATAAAGGATTCGAATAAGTGTGGGTGTGGGTAGGTTATCAGATGATAGACACGCTCACCTTCAAAACTTTTTCACAAAGACAAAATGATCAATCTATTTTTCTCTACAACAATCAAGTGTCTCATGAATCTGAGAGCCATTGGAAGATTAATGAGACTAATGTAGAATTAGTAGTTCACTCTCCCAACTATTTTATGCTCCTTCGACAACACAAGTTAATTCATTTCATCACTTGATGCATAATCGATATATCTCTACAAAATTTTTATTATAATAATAAAATAAATCTCTCGTTAATAACAATATCAGAATTTGTTAATATCAATTCAAATGAAGTCTCGAATAATCAAGAATGCATACATTTAAATGGTGACCTTAATTATATGTTTGTGTGCCTTCTCATCATAGGCAATGCTTTTGACCACGTATTCAACATCATTTGGTAAAAGTACTTCATCTTCTTGTGGACAATCTGAATATTCTGTTACAGCTGTCCATGTCGTTGATTTAAATGATATCTGAATAACAGTTATAATAAGCAGAGTATTTCCAAAGTTTTCAGCAAGTCCTCGATCTCTTGTTGGTGATGTAAAAGCTTTCTAACTCAATATCTTTTTGTCGTTTCTGGCAAGTTCATGATCTTTCCAAATGGCCTCAGGGTGGATGTAGGCGTGGGTGAGTAGGTGTGTTCTCATTGCATTATATTTGCAGATACACCTATATCCACGACCATATCCTGAAGATCTGTTCGATTTTATAAAAAATAGATAGAAAAAATTAAGGTCAACATGCCTCTATGGCTCAGTGGTAGAGCGCCAGT